TTGTTATCATTATCATCTCGTTTACTTTTTTTCTTGTTGATATACAATTTCGCACAAAGATTAACCTTTCAGTATGCTTTCATAAATGTCTAGTTTGGTTGACTCATTGAATATTGATACATGCAATGAGAAAGCAAAAATGGCACAAGAAGTTAGATCAACATTTGACGACTGAGTTCATAAACGAAATGATATACCCATTGTTGGCACTAAACGAATGTAGTAGTTCTATGAATATAGAGGAACTGGGTTTAGCTTATTACATAACATATAGCAGTTATTAGTGGATGAGATTTCAGCAATAATCTTCTCATCTATGCCACACTATTTTCTTGGTTGATAAAGCAGAATTATAACGTCATTGACTAGCCTTCTTCTTCTTTTCTTTATTTCGGCTATCTCCTACGGGAGGATGAGCCGGCTTCATGAACATCTCGAATCATCGCCGGGCGATCTGATGCAAGGTTTTGCGACAGGGTTATCCAATTCTTGTTCCACAAACGGAGTCCGTAGATGGTTTGTAGCCCCAGGCACTCCATATCAGCCTTGACTGTACCAAGCCATGTTTTCAGCTGTCCACCCCTGCGACATCGCCAAGTTACCGGGAACGCCGTTGCATGGTGACAGTTGTTTGTAAGAGAGTTCATGAAGTTTCATGGGAATTAGGTACGAGTGATGTCCCCAGCATCGCTCGGCCTTTTGTTTGAGAGTGCAGCTCTAGCCTTGACACAACCAAGTGTGACCTACAAGGCAGTAGGAGTGGAGTAGGGAGTCCACTATCCAGTGGTAGCCAGCCGTGACCGGAATCCAGTTCATACGCCTTTTTGAATGGGGCCAGACATCCAGGACATCCAACAAGCCCTTTGTCCATGCGTCTGCCGGTGAGCTCCGGTGAGCTATATACGCCAGTCGTTGGAGGTTTGGAATCAGGGTTTAGCCATCTCCCCTAGACTGTTATCCAATGGACAGTCAACTCGGTGAAGAGCGCCAGGCATCCGCTTTTGCCCTCTCACTTCGGTGAAAGACACCTCCGCCACGTGAAGGCAGTGAGTAGAACTTCCTCAGGAGAGGCTATGTAAGACGCCCGGTCATATGGGAGCATTTCAAGAGGTGTACGGAGGGATGGCCAACGCGCAGCGCAAGGCACCCACCCCCGACCATCCTGAGGCTTTGGACTAACCATACATAAGAGAACCAGAAATAGAGTTCAGTCTGCACCAAATGAAGGACTAGACGCATAACATTAGTTATTATCTAGTGTCCAATCAAAGTATCCTACCCATTACAGTCCTAAAGGAGGTCAGTTAGTTGCAAGTCCGAATAGCTCAGTGGTGTTACGTCTCTGACTTTGCAGGACTACTGATTGGCCAGAGTTCGGATGTCATAAAGTACAGGAGTTCCTTACAAACTCTAGGTATGCGTCGGTGGCACAGTGGTTAGGACTCTCGCCGACCAGGCAAATGGTCCGGGGTTCGATCCCCTGCTGACGCACACCCGATATCTATGGTCGGCCTGCAAACTTTAGGCTACCGATATCATATGCTGAAAATTCCATACCTGTACCGAAAAATACGGTGTGGAATCAAGCTGTAATCGAAAAAAAATTAAATTAAAAATTAAAAAAAAAATAAAATAGCTATGTGAATGAAGTTTATCACTTGTAGCTGTGATAAGCGGTGCAGCATGCCTGATTATATACCTTTCATACTTAGTTAGAGTGCCGGAAAAAGATTTTCTTATGGTAAGCATTTATGCAGACTGATTTTAACTTCTGACTTCTCATATACTAATTACTTGATGGATGGTGACAAAGAGTGGGGTCCGAGATGTGTATTTCGTGCTGTTTAAGACTTATCGGTTGGATGTACCTGCATTCCCAGTCAGTGTGATAGTATTCCCAATCAGGCTCAAACCTAGTAGCCATCGTTTCAAACGTCAGAAAGCTATCCACTACTCGACTTTTTGGGCGCATTCTGAATTCTCTATTTCAAGTAACCATCCTTCAGGAGCTCAAAACAGTCAGTCAACGGGAAAAACAATTAAGACTTCAATGAATTCTTCTCACAGATTTCATTTCTTTCTGTACTTCTCTAGTTTTCATCACAATTAAACACAGCTGGCAATTATGATTCATAAAATGTGAAGTTTCACTTGGTATGCGTGAGATGCGAAAATTTTCCATGAACCAGATAGTCATCACAAAAGCTAGCTTGATGGTTGGCATGTCGAAAGTTTATAACAAATGATACTGTTTAAGTGCACTGAAATGTCTTGTGCTCTCATTCATATGAGACACAAAATGAAGAACCTCAAAGCATGAGTCTCTTGTTAAGCGGTTGAAGACGGTAGCTAGGACGAATCGGAACTCATCAACTAGGCATATCTAGAACCTGTAAGGAACTCATATGCCTTCTAACATTCGAACCCTGGCCAACCAGTCCTGCAAGGTCAGAAATGTTACCACTGAGCTATTCAGACTTGGAATTGACTTCCATTATGGGTAAATTTTGTTTTGATAAAGTCTCACAGTGTTATACAGTAATGTTTACTGATGACCAAGTTTCGAGCACAATTTATTGCTCATAATCATATCAAGGGACAAGCTCTGTAGGTTAAAGGACCCAGTTGACCCAATTAGACATAATATTATTTACAAAATACCCTGCAATGACTGTGAGGCCAACTACATAGGTCAGGGGTAGTCAGAATGTCAGAACATAAGAATTTAGCTAAGGTAAGAATGGTTGATCCAGAGAAGATAAGTAATTTAGAAAAAAGCTCAGCAATTGCATTGCATGCATTGACATACAACCAACCACACAATAGCATGGTGGGAGAGGGTTAAAATTCTAAAAAGTAATCTAGATAGGTGGAGAGAGAGGGTTGATTACTGAATCCTTGTTCATCGAATCTACACCCAACACCCAACATGCAATAGAAATGATTCATCACTCATACCCGAAATATGTAAAATACTATTACCAATCAAATCAAGTGAAAAACAATGGAACTATATAAATGAATTTAGGAATTCGTGTGATTACCTTGATATGATTATGAGTGGTAATAAATTGTGCTCGAAACTTGGTCATCAGTAAACATTACTGTATAACACTGTGAGACTTTATCAAAACAAAATTTACCCATAATGGAATTACACTCTACCACAGTGCACAAGTTTTAATTCTTATATCATTGAAATTGACTTCCTGTAGGACTGTAATGGATACTTTGATTGGACACTAGATAATAACTAACGTTATGCGCCTAGTCCTTCATTTGATGCAGACTGAACTCTATTTCTGGTTTTATTATGTAGGTTTAGGCATAATTTTGTATATTGGGATTAAGCCAGAGGCATCATTTTGGTCTAAAGTATTATGAAAGGCGTTTTTAAATAGTGTTATTTTATACTTGATATTTGAATGCATGTCTTATCCAATGAAGACTCGGCTGAAATTATAGTTTTTTTTTTTTTGTAAGCAACTTATCATAAAAGCTTTATTCTACATTTTAAAATTTTGTACCCTTCTGAAAGAGTAACTTCAACGTCTGTTCGTGGGTGTATTGATGCAAAATTCAGTAATTACAGAAGTCATATTAAAAAGATACACGCTAACTTATATTCAACATGAGATAATAAGGTGTACTGTTTTTAGTATTTACTTTATGACATTGTTACATTAGATTAATGGAATGTATGATTGATGAAGTCCAGATGCATATGGCGTGTAATCCCGTTGAGAGAAAAATTAAACACCCATAGGAATTAACTGCTTGCTAAACTAGTCATTTATCAATTATTATTCAACTGATATGCAAATGAAACAGAGGAAAGACTGTAACGTTGACATTTTCATTGAAAGCGAAATAAAGAGATCAAGCGAGAAGCCAAAAGAAATGAAAATGCATCATAGGGAAATCCCAAGGGTATAGAGAAAAATAAAGCGTTTATGTCAAACCACCACACTTATATATTTCCTATATATGATACTGTTGGCAATGAATACATGGATTATAATTTTTTGATCACTAGCTAGATTCAGTTAGATAACAATTGTAAACCAGGAAGTACTGGACAGTTGTTTCGTCCCTGCGTTGAGACTGGTCATCAGCATGCACCCCTGACTTCATCAGGGATCCAGGGTCATCGAGTTACGAGGCGAACTCGTGTACTACCATTCAGCCAATGCGGTAAAGAATAACAGCCCATCAGTGTTAACTTCTACAGATTCGTGACTTTTTTCCCCTCACGTTCCCCAGTGGAGCATAGGGCTTCAAGCTAGTGGCTTGAAGTTTCTGTAGCAGTGTTTATTTTAACAGGATGGGGTTGCTAGCCTCATGCTCAATCGTTCCTCTTTACCATTTTTTTAGCTACTGGCTTAGCGAGGTAAAGGAGTGCGTCGGCCGGGAATTGAACCCCGAAACATGTGCATGGTCGGCGAGCGTCCTAACCGCTATGCCACCGACGCACAGATTCGCGACCACCAGGCAGTATTATCAGTGAGCATTTGTCCTCATACTAAACCTGGTAAATCCCAATGGTCACGGCTTCCCACTAGAACTTCAGGCAGCTTTAGCCTCTGCTGAGTCACTAGTGGGCTCAAGGTTAATTTTCAAGTGGTAATTTGGAGGGATTTGATTGATTTCAAGATTGATTGATACCAGGCAAGAAAGGTCATAGTTGTGTACTGCTGGAAAGTCCCAAACAACGATGGAACAGCTGCGCAGTACTTTCTGGTTGTTTTCAGTGGTTCTCTAACTGAAGTCATTTTGAATGAGGCATTAAGAAAACAAATTTTGCGAGATGATATCGTCATTTCGTGGGTTCTTTACAACCGCTTTACAACTAACATGGTTAACAATAATAAAATAAAGATCATGACAATTACTCAGTTAACTAGAAAATAAAAGTAAATACTAATGACCAATCATATTTAGATAGGTCATGTTGTCCATGGTAGGCGAAGATTGAAGTCTATTGTTTTTTGTACACACAGTTTAGGCTGTATGTGATTGGCGGCCTGTTCGAATATTTGGGCCTGCTACCAAAATATCTACATTTTGCATCCAGTTTACTGTTTACCAGCATACATTTATCAACTTAATATGAATTCTAACAGAATCATTTACTCTCGTAACTTTATTAATGATTTACGACCAAATGACTTTCATATTCCAAAGAAACCAAGAAGGAAACATCGTAGTGGTTGGCAGAGAGCTCTCAAACGTACACCAATACACTTAACTACGGTCCCCGTCATAATGAACTCAAACTGTCGCTCTCTGCCAAATAAGATAATGTACCTACAATCCCTGATGTCAACTGATACGTATCATAACACCGCCATAATCGCATTACAAGAAACGTGGTTGCATGAACTGTATGATGACAACCTTATCTCACTAAAGGACTTTATTTTATTTCGTCAAGACCGTCAATGTTGTAATAAGAAAAATGGTGGTGGCGTTGCAACTTTTATTCACTCCAAATGGTCTGTCTCAAATAACGTCTGCTTCACCTTCTCAAATGACTTCATTGACTGTATTACTGTCAAATGTCGCCCCAAACACCTCCCCAAGTATAAACAATTCTATATTACAAACATGTACATTTCTCCTAGTTGCTCTCCATCTGATCTATCTAATTTTGCTGATGAATTCACCATGTTTGCTGCTGCCAACTTCGACAACTCTCTATCCGTTATTACTGGAGACTTCAACACATCGGATTGTTCCTTTCTTGAAGCTCTTGGTCACACAAACATAGTCAAATTTCCCACTCGACTTGACAAAACACTCGACTCGTTTTTACTAATGACGAAGGAGTATATGAAACACGAAGACGTTCACCGATACATAACTCCGATCACTGCATTGTCCGCGTTTTGCCAAAAATATACAGCAAAACACATATTAAAATCTTCTCACACCTGTCTACGAAAGCACAAGAAAGATGCTACACATCTGACAACTTACTCAATCTAAGATGCATGTTAAAAGATACCAACTGGGATCTATTCTATGAAAGTACATTAGATGACTCAATCACCAATATAATGGATTATCTTAAGTTCTGCCTCGACATTTGCTGTCCTAAACAAACACTGTTCAAACGCCTCGACCGCTTCTCGTCTCCCCGTCTCAAACAACTTCGCAGGCAAAAAGAAATGTTATATAAATGCAAAGACAAGTTAGGTCTTAAAAAGATTAATGCTCAAATCAAATCTGAAATCAAAAATCTTAATGCTATCTATAACCAAACACTTTTATCATGCAAATCTCCTAACAGCATGTGGAAACTTTTCAATGAAATTACTGGCAAAAGTAAGCGATGTAATGTTTTTCCCTCTTTTGATGTTAATGCTCTTAATCTGTCTTTTTTACGCTCTCCTTCTACTATAACCACTTCTAACGTTACCAATCTTGTAGCTGATAACTTCCAGGACTTCAATACTCTCGATGTTTTGAAATGTCTTAAAACTCTTAAGCCCTCACATAGTCTTGGCCCTGATAGCATACCTGCATATGTTCTAAAACAATGTGCAGATGCTTTATGTTCTCCTCTAACTAATATACTAAATGCTTCTTTCCGTGAAAACGTTGTACCTGTTCCATGGAAAGACATTAAAATAGTCCCTGTCCCTAAACCTGGCAATAGCAAGAACGTAAAGTTCAGACCCATCGCCATCACTTCCCCGTTTCTAAAGCTCATGGAAAAACTAGTACTTCTTAAACTCGAACCCTCCCTTAAAAGCTTCGAAGACCCCAAACAATTTGCCTACAGACAGGGTAGGAGTACTTTAGACGCTGCAGCCGTCTTACACAACAGTATTATCTCATCATTAGACAAAGGTGCCAAATATGTCCGCTGCACGTTTCTTGACTTTACTTCTGCTTTCGACTCTGTACCTAGAAGTCTCTTGCTAAATAAGCTCTCCATGACACAAACCGAGTCCTGGGTCACTAACTGGTTGCATTCCTACTTTTCAAACAGAATGCAGTACACCGTATACAAAGGCCAATCCTCCTCTGCTGTGCTCACAGAAGCTGGTGTCCCCCAAGGTGCTGTACTCTCCCCACTTCTCTTTTCTTTCTTTCTACATGACCTACCGTCTTCAAATGACATTAACTTTGTCAAATATGCTGATGACCTAACTGTGTCTTTACCTGTCAAATGTCAAAGTGACTGCTCTAAACTAAATGGCTTCTTATCGGAAATTAGCCAATGGTCCAAGGAAAACGGTCTAACCTTAAACCCCTCCAAATGCCAAACAGTTAATTTCACCCTTAGGCATAAATCTGACCTAAACAAACTGGTTAGCACTCATGAGGTGTGCAACATAGATGGCAGTGAAATAGAAACCAAGTCGGAAATTAAATACCTAGGCGTCACTCTATCTTCTGATCTTTCCTGGTCGTCTCATATCTTGACGATTTCCAAGAAAATATACCGTCTTACCTTCTACATCAAGAAGTTAAGGCATTCTGGTGTAACCCAACCCTTACTCCTACAATTTGTTAACTCCCGTATTCTGCCTATTATTCTCTATTGCTCCCCCTTAGTCTTTCCTGGGCTATTGAAGAAAGACTATACCTTATTACGTAGGATGTTAAAGGTTGTCAGCAGGGTAAGCAGCTTGCCACTTAGCCAGCTAGTTAATATTCTGGTGGACAGGCATATGGACTCATGTGAAAAATGGGCGAAATCCATTTTATCTGACTCACAACACCCTCTACATTCACAACTCTCCCCATGTATCTCTTCAGGGAAAACAAGAAGCCTATATAGGAAACTATATGCCCGCACTAGTAAGTACAAAAACTCATCCATACCCTACTTAGCTCGTGTTCTGTGCGATAAAGAATGCATCAGGCATGAAACCTTTAACTTATTAAATAGTCAGTAGAACCAATGGATCTTGTCTTTCCAACTCACATCATTTATAGGTACAACGTTTTCTCGCTCTTCATTCTGTATTTATTTTTGTTATGTGCTGTTTTGTTTCTCTCTTCCTTGCAAACTCTACTTAAAACATTCTTGTTCGTTCTTTCACACTCTGTACATCTCGAACATTTTGCTATCGCTTACGCCAGTAAATATGCTAGTAGTATCTACTTTTCTAACACCTTCAAACACTTTAATTTTGGCTTTGCTACCGACATACTAATATGTTGTTGAGATAACTTTAAACTATGTAGAACTTTATTTATTGTTAATGTAAAAAACTGGATGCAATATTGTAGTAAAATGCTGAGAATTCCATTCTGTATCACAAGTACTGATTTGGAATAAAGCTTATGTTATGTTATGTTATGTTATGTTAAGTGCTTCCATCACCTTCAATAACCAACCTTGAATTAGAGTTATGTGATGAAATATTTGTGAAGCAGTCATTAATATTGATTTAATGACCTGACATTAATAAGTGTTTTGGAATGGATGATGCTAGATTTCTATTCAGATTAATCGCATTGGGATTTTCGATATGATTTAGTAGCCATTTTGGAACATGTTCTTTTCGACGACCACATTAGAGCATTCTGTTGGTTCTACCTTTATAGGTGTCACCGCAGCTGCAGGTGAACTTGTAGATACAGTTTGAGGTAGAGTCCACAGAATTTCGTCCATTAATCGTAGGTGCAGGAATTGAAAGTGTTCGGCAAATGAGAAAAAGAGATGTGGCGGCGTAGAATGTGAGTTTGATGGCTGACCGAAGTCTTTGAGCTAGCTGTCAACTGCATAATCTGGTCGCCCTTGAATGGTAGGTTAATAAAGAAACTACGAAATAATATCATCTCGCGAAATTTGTCTTCTTAATGCCTTATTCAAATTTATTAAAGGGACTAATTGTTTTAATGAAGTCAGTTCGTTTTCAAAATTGGAATTAATCAAATCCTTGGAAAACGAACAAGTGAAAATACTTGAAGTAATCTTATATATATATATATATATATATATATATATATATATATATACATCCAACAGTTGCTATATTGTTCATCATTTTGTAAAAAGTTATTATAACACTACTTATTTCGAGCAATTCAGTTAAAAATGAGATGTTTGAATGAAGTTATAATACTGGTCATCTCTTTTTTTTAAATTTTTTTTATAAGTGGGTAGACGGCTCAAAAAAGGTAAAGGTAGATATCAGGTACCTCCAGCTGGTCCACAAATTTCTGTGCTTAAATTATCCGGGAATAAGATTGATCATAATGGTCGAGGTGGGAATTTCGCTCCAGTTAGGTGTATGCAACTGTTAAAAAGGTGAGGGATTTGCAATGATTTCGTTAAAATTGTTCACTTTTTGTGAGTTTTATTACTTTGTAGTTCCCTAATCAACAGAATCGACATTGAGGCTATGATACAGAGGGCTAGTTTCGTATATGCCAGTTTATGCCGTAGACGTGATGTCCTGCTGGCTATCGACCCAATGGCGGGTGTACTGCTCATCAGTCCGCTCCGTCCTCCTTTATGGCTGTCAGCGAGACCTGGCCAATGAGAGTGGAAGACATGAAATGATTAGCTGTTTTTGATCATAGGTGCCTGCGCTTTATCTCCCGTGTGAAGTGGTATAATAAGGTGAGGAATATTGAGGTTAGGCATCGGTCGAGTGCTAGGTAGGTGAGATGGGAAATCAATCGATGAGGTTGTGAAGTTACAAAGACTGAGATGGTTAGGACATGTGTTACGTATGCCTAGTCATCGCCTACCTCGACCGATGGGCAATGTTAGCTGACATAGGGTCAGGCTGGAGAAGAGCTAGCAGCGGTCAAACCAAAACATGGCCACACTAGTCAATGAAATCCACAACGGTTAGTTTACGCTAGCCACGTAGGAAGGTGTAGACTTCCTGTTTGGGGTCCTCGAGTCAGTAAAAACCAATGATTGGAAACAATTGGTGACATGGCTCAGTGATCGTTCCCAATGACTGGCTGGTGCAGATGCATCCACTCCTTGTGAACTATGATTTCCAATGAAACTATATTGTTCTTCATTATTACTATTCCTTTGTCTCACACCTCTGTTTACTGTCTCTATTATGCGTTTCTTCCACTTTCTTCTCTTGCTTTCTGTGTTACATGGAGGGAGTGTGGCGACTCGAACTGGTGCACATCGGTGCAAAGTTCTATGTCGAAAACAGACAGACAGAGGCTATGATTAACACTTCCTCAGAAACACTCACTCTGTCTAGTTTACTTCATATATATTTTATGTTAAAAATGGATGGTTCTCATCAAGAATGAAAAGATGAGTCCGCTTTTCTAAAGCTGTATAGCTGGTGTGGCGTGAGATAGAGTAGGTGATCTCTGCATAAACCACTCAAGTGGAAGTAGTTATGGAAGTAGTAATTTTTTTTATTCTAAGAAGTCACCTTTTCAGGACCAGGAGGA